GGGCAAGCACTCACATGCACCCTGCGTGGTAAACCGCCAGGTCTGGAACTTGAACCACGTAGTCAGCTATGTGGGACCAGCCACCTTAACTATCAGGCCACAGGTGTGGCCCGTTCTCTTGGGTTTTGTTGTGGTTGTTTTTCAACAGAATCTCACTGTGGTGACCCTCCTCCCTCAGCGCCCAGTGGGAGCTACAGGCATGTGCTGCCATACCTGAATTTTTGGCTTTTCTTTGCTGTGTTGCCCAGTCCAGCCTTGAGCTCACAATTCTCACAATGCCTCAGCCTCTGAGTCACTGGGCATACAGGTGCACTGTGCCTGTCCTTTAGAATGGACTGGGAATCACACGCAGATCTCCCATGTGGTCTCATGGGGAGCGCAACATCTCAGCAGTACGAGCCACTGTACCTGGGCCAGGCCACTGTTTGTACTTGTTCAGTCCCTACTCACCCCACCCCATGGATGAATGCCCTACTTACGTTGCTTGGTTATCTTTCTCCACATTGGGTTACTTCCTCCCTGTCTATACCTCACCTTGTTCAGGTTTCCATTTCCAGTTCTGAGGCTTCCCCTTGCTCCATAGGGACGCCTCCATACTCTGCTAGGGGTCCCGAAGTCTGATTCAGGTTGTCCTCCTGTGTGGGTGCCCTTGCTGTGCTCTCCCACTTCTTGCTAATCCACTTTTTTATGGATTAAATTAAATGGAATTGCCCTCTTTTTATTTCCCTTTGGAGAGGATTTTTTGCTATAGTGCGTGTGCGCTCACCAGACAGACAGAGACAGAAAGTAAGAACCCACCCCCCCAGGGGGATGGCCATGCCTCAATCTTTTCTCCTCCATTCTTCTCTCCGGATCTTGGGCACGTGCCTGGTGTGAGTTTAAGCCACCAGGTCTGGAACTCGAACTCGAACCACAGTTGACTACGTGGGAGACTTGATATTATTTGGTTGTATTTCTTAACCTAGAAAAACGGGTGCTTTTTTTTGGCTATCAGTGATAGTGAAAAGTCAAGCCCACTTGTTATTCAATCCAAGGAATATATATATACATATATTTTGGGTGGAGAGAGGTTTTTGCCATAGGGTGAGTGTGCTCACAAGAAAGAGAGAGAAGAGAGACAGCGAGAAATCACCCCTTGAGGGGATGACCACACTGCAGTCCCTCTCCTCCATTCTCGTCCCTACTCACCCCACCCCATGGATGAATGCCCTACTTACGTTGCTTGGTTATCTTTCTCCACATTGGGTTACTTCCTCCCTGTCTATACCTCACCTTGTTCAGGTTTCCATTTCCAGTTCTGAGGCTTCCCCTTGCTCCATAGGGACGCCTCCATACTCTGCTAGGGGTCCCGAAGTCTGATTCAGGTTGTCCTCCTGTGTGGGTGCCCTTGCTGTGCTCTCCCACTTCTTGCTAATCCACTTTTTTATGGATTAAATTAAATGGAATTGCCCTCTTTTTATTTCCCTTTGGAGAGGATTTTTTGCTATAGTGCGTGTGCGCTCACCAGACAGACAGAGACAGAAAGTAAGAACCCACCCCCCCAGGGGGATGGCCATGCCTCAATCTTTTCTCCTCCATTCTTCTCTCCGGATCTTGGGCACGTGCCTGGTGTGAGTTTAAGCCACCAGGTCTGGAACTCGAACTCGAACCACAGTTGACTACGTGGGAGACTTGATATTATTTGGTTGTATTTCTTAACCTAGAAAAACGGGTGCTTTTTTTTGGCTATCAGTGATAGTGAAAAGTCAAGCCCACTTGTTATTCAATCCAAGGAATATATATATACATATATTTTGGGTGGAGAGAGGTTTTTGCCATAGGGTGAGTGTGCTCACAAGAAAGAGAGAGAAGAGAGACAGCGAGAAATCACCCCTTGAGGGGATGACCACACTGCAGTCCCTCTCCTCCATTCTCCTCTCAGGATCTTGGGCATGCACACACACGTGCGCAGCATGAGTTTAAGCCATTGGATCCATACTCGAACCGTGGTCGACTACATGGGAGTTCAGTGACATAGCTATTACGCCAACTGCTGGTCCCCAATTCAAGGAATATTTAAAAGTGTTTTTTTTTTTTTAAAGGAAAAGCAAATATTAATAAATACTTAAAAAGAAGTCTAAAGAAGTAGGTATGATGTGTTGAGAAATAGACTCAGGGTACTGAAGGAGAAAATGCACAGCATTATGAGAAATTTCGTAAAGATAGATTGGATATGGATATTTACTTCATTAATTTATGAAGATGTTACTTTGTTATACACTCGTTGATGTTATAATTCTCACAAGTCATGATGCAAAGGGTAAATTGTAGTTGTAATGAAGAACAGCAAAAATTCACACTACTTCATATATTAACACACCAAAACAAAGGAACATGTCGTTATTCTTAGTCTTCAAGAATTATCTTTTCCCCCAGAATATTAACTCATCCAGAGATCATCAGTCTCTTCTCATTCCAGCCAAGATGCTGTTATAATTATACATATGAAAATGAAGTTGTCTTCCCCTCCTGTGTTCCCTAATTGCATCTGGGTGATTTTCTCATTACTCAGACTATAAATGTCAACAAGATCTTTAATTCATCCCTTTTCCTTTGCTGCCTGCATTCCGTCTTCTATTAGTTCTCACGCATAATGACCTTGCCATGCCCCTGTTCCTTTCTACTACTATGTGGGTCAAGCCCACATTTCTTGTGTGGGTTTTAGCATTAGCTTTCCCAATTCATTAAACGTTATGGTAATGTTTTCTGCATCTTTGCCTTTGTTTCACTGCAGTGCTTCTTTCTTAAGGTAGCTAAATTAAATGCCTCTACAGACTGAAATCAGGAGGGATAGGGAAGAGATTGTGGTAAATTCAGTGCCCTATGTGCATGTTGAGGGGATTGTTGTCTTGCTGAATTGGGGGCCAGTTATTGCCAAATCTTCCAATCTTGTAAGAGAAGCTAGAAATTCATATTTATATGTGAAATCATAATTTTTTCCACCCTTTTCCTAGATACTTCCACAACAAAAAGGAGATTAACACTGCATTTTAATACATAAACGATTGGAACCAGCAGTTGGTGTAATGGCTATGTCACTGGACTCCCATGTGGTTGGCCAGGGTTCGAGTCCTGGACCCGGTGGCTTAAACTCAGGCCGGGCACGTGTGCGTGTGTGCCAAGATCCCAAGAGCAGAATGTAGAAGAATGGATTTCGGCATGGCCACCCCCCCCCCCCCGGGGGGGGGGGGGGGATGATTTCTCGCTTTCTGTCTCTCTCTTGACTTTCTGGCGAGTGCACATGCCTTATAGCAAAAATCTGTCCTAAATATATATGAATGATTGAGGAGTCTGCAGCAAAAAAATCTGATTTAACAATCTGGATTACTTAGTCTGATCTAAGACACTTTACTACACTTTACTATTTTTATTGCTAAGAGGGTATATGCACTTGCCAGAGGGAAAAAAAGTGAGACTTCAGTGGAGTGTGGTCATGCTACAATCCTTTTTTTCTCCATTTCTCCATCCCATCAGGATTTTGGCCATGTACGCACACATACTCATTTTGCTTTCCAAGCTGCCAGGCTAGGATTTGGATTGCCATTGGCCATGTGGATTGGATTTTTTTAAATATAATTATTAATTTTTAAACATTTATTTATTTTTGGAGAGGTTTTTACTATGGGGTGCATGCGCTCGCCAGACAGACAGAGAGAGACAGAAAGTGAGAAATCACCCCCGGGGGGGATGGACATGCCGCAGTCCCTTCTCCTCCATTCTCCTCTCGGGATCCTGGGCACTCACGCACACGCGCCCTACATGAGTTTCAAGCCACCAGGTCCGGGATGCGAACGGCGGTCGACTACATGGAAGTCCAGCGACATAACCATTACACTAACTACTGGTCCCCTATTCATTTATTTTTACTTATTTATTCATTTATTTTAATTTGACTGGGGTTGGGAGTGAGAAAGCAAGCCATGAGGTTCAGGACTTAAACCAGGGTTGGCTATGTGGGAGTCCACAGCCACCACATCCTGCTGGCCCCAGGAGTTGGGCTTTTTATGGCATAGTGATTAATCACCACACTGCGGGTGGCCCTGCCCTAAGACATTCTTTACCATTCTAATCAGGCTCCCATTCACTGATGTCAGAAAGTAGGTACTAGATACTTCATTTCTGGTGTATATCTGGGCTACTCCCTTATCTTGTATTAGCCCCATGTTGACCTCTTTCTTCCTTTATTTCATCTTTTCCTGGCTTTCTAGTCTGCATTTCCATGATGGTATGGTATACCCATGTAATAAAGTTTTATTTTCATTTTGGTATATAGACTATCTTGTTTGTAGCTGTTCATAGATTGACCCATTTACATTAGCATGGAGCTCCTTGAGGACAAGCCCCTGTGCTCACCCTGCACCATGCACCTAGCACAATGCCTCGTGGATGTACAGGAGTAGATGGTTACTGACAGAATGAGTGTGTAGGTAACTGGAGGAAGGCAGGTTGGAATGAAGCTGGGTATTATGGAAAAATAGTAGTTTTCTAGCTGTTCTTCATGTTGGTAGTCACCTTTAATCCATCCTGTAATCCATGCTGCAAAATAAGTTAGTCGCTTATACTTGGACAGGCTTACACAACTACCCAAGAAAATACTAGAATAGTGGTTTTGTAGCTTTTCTAGTAACAGACTCCTCCAGAAAATGGAAGCTATGGTCTGGTCCTACAGAAAGCATATATACATGTATCACATATCTAACATTTTAAATATGTCCTGGTAGTCAAGAGACCCTGCTGTCTATGTATGACTTCCTGAAGATCCAAGGTAACCACTTGTACAACTGCTTTAATGACCACAAAGAGCAAATATGTGATACTCCTCACAGAAGAGATAAACTGTTAACAACTCTGGAGCTTTTAATATTTTATATATATAAAGTAACATTTTTTTCTTAATCTTAACTCATATTTGAAAACAACATGAAATGTAAATAATTAAAAAATTTCTTTTCTTTTTTTAGGAATCAAGGAAGGACTGAGGTAAGATGATTTATACTTACATTAAAATTTTATTTAAGACATGAGATTTTTTACTTTCCATTAGTAACAGTAAAGAGAGGGTGTTGTTTGTATTCTAGAAAACGCTACATCATATGTGTAGCTGATAGGAGCCTTTAAAAATATAAATGAATGTATCCTGTGTGAATGAATAGAATCTTTCTTAGTTATTTGTTCCAGCAGTTTTCTTCTTTGACCTAAGTATGTATTATGAAACTGGCTATGGTTTCAGTAATACTTAAGTAATAATTACTTTACTTCAATGGGGCAGAAACATTAGATTTGGATTTTCGAGGGCTTTAGATTTTGATCCATTGACTCCAGTTCATAATGAGCAGTGTGTGTCATACAGTAGAGAGATACTTAATAAACATCTCATGATTTTCTTGCATGGTTGGGAGATTAGTAATTTTATGTTTCTAAATCCCCATTATATAAATTTGGATTTTTTGAGGGGGAGGGATTTGGTATATAATACAGATCATTTTGAAAGAACGCCTGTTTTGGGGACCAGCAGATGACATAATGGCTACGTCGCTGGACTCCCATGTAGTTGACCATGGTTCGAGTCCCGGACACGGTGACATAAACTCACGCCAAGTGCATGTGTGCCCAAGATCCTGAGGAGAATGGAGGAGAGGAGAATGGAGGAGAAGGGATTGCAGTGTGGCCATCCCTCCTGGGGGGTGATTTCTCACTTTCTGTCTCTCTCTGTCTTTCTAGCGAATGCACACACCTTATAGCAAAAATAAAACCTCTAAAAAAAATAATAATAATCTATTCCTCCTTTGGGAAGAGTTCTGCAGCCACAGACCAGAGAAAAGATTTGAAAAGTGTCTTTCTTTGTAATGGTAGATTAGCCCCATTATTCTGACAGATGAAAGTAGAATCTCTTTTTATGACTTAAGAAGTAAGGATTTTTTGATTAAAAAAAAAAAAGTTTAACAAAATGACCGGGAAAGACATTTTTAAAAATGCATTTGACTTATAAAAAAATTTCTGTACAGTTGCTCGGAATATGAAAATAGGTAGTAAGTTCTGTTTAATGTGTCTATTAGGTGTCATTTACTTTGAATGAGGATCTTGCAAATATTCATGATATTGGTGGAAAACCAGCCTCCGTCAGTGCTCCTAGAGAACATCCATTCGTCTTGCAAAGTGTTGGAGGACAGACATTAACAGTATTTACGGAGAGCTCATCAGGTAAGTGGGAATGGAATAGTTCATTTGTATATAGATTTTCTGCCCAAACATAGACTCCTATTTGCACTTTTAAGGATAGTAAGGCTTTCCACCTGTCATTCTTGCCTCTGTTGCTCATGCCCTGTTGCTTCTCTGTTCTGTGTATTTTCTCGTAATTAATACAGTTTCAGGTGTTACTTGAGAGGGGTTTAATTTCCACTTGGGGTTTAAAGATATCGAATAGAGCAGATAGAAGAATGTACATCAAGCTGCTTTCTAAGATGTTGCAGAAATAGTGTTTTTGGTTTTGACAAGATAAGGTTATCCTTGTTTATTTTCGTAAATTGAGACTCAGCAAGTATTTTTTTTTAATTGCCTAATATTAGGTAACATATTTTAATCTGAACTTTTGCTCTTCTATGCTTTGTATACTAAGATGGCTTTTTGTTTCTTAAGGATTAATTTTTAGTTGATACCAGCTTCCGGGAAGTTCTGTGTATAAAGTAGTTCTCAAATTGTATTTGTTTGCAGTGACATATTTTAACAGTTCAATAAGTCAGAATTAAATATAGAGAGAATTAAATATAGAGAGAATTTTTTGTGACGTATGTTCAACAGCAATGTATGTTTATTTTAATTGTTTCTTAGTTTTTATCCTTCATTGAATTTAGAATATTGCTATTACAGCAGCAGCCCTCAGTTAAATGGAGCTAACTTTCTTGTATCTAGCTCAGAACATTTACTGGTTATATCAAAGGAAAAGAACCATAATTTTGTTGCATTTCAGACATTTCAAAGACAGCTTTCAGAAATTATAGTGTATTAAGATTTTTTTTTTTTTGAGAGGTTTTTCTTATAGGGCACGTGCGCTCACCAGAAAGAGAGACAGACAGAAAGACAGAAAGCAAGAAATCACCCGCCCTGGGAGGGGATAGCCACGCCGCAATCCCTTCTCCATTCTCCTCTCAGGATCTTGGACACATATGCACACATGCCCGGTGTGAGTTTAAGCCATGGGGTCTGGGACTGGAACTGCAATCGACTACAGGGAGTCTAGCAATATAACTATTATACCAACTGCTGGTCCCAAGATTTCATTGTTTCTAAAAAGGAATAGCCTTTAAAATTTTTTTGTGATGTCTTTAATTGCCAATAGCTGCATAAACTTTTAAAATATTAGTTTTTTATTTTTCTTTTCTTTAAAACTTGGATGTAGAACCTGACAATGGTAAAGTACAACTTTCAGTCATGTGGGTCTACTGCATTATTTTGATGCTATAATAATTTGTAGTGTATTATGGGCTGTAGAAAATGTTAAAGTAATAATATCTTCAATATGTGTGTTTATTCTAGAGTAGATTTAGTCATTCATAAATACTGAAGAAGATTTAGCCATTCACAAATAGGCACATCCAAGGAATCTGAAATTTGTCTTTGACTTGATGGAATTTATTAAGACCTTTTGAATCCTGTGAGTTTTTCTATAGTTTTGAGATTATCCCTAGGGGTGGGAGAGGTATGACATCAAGATGGTGGAAAGGAGGCAGAGCCTTGATAGAAATTTGAGGTGAAGAGACTTACTCCTTCTGTGGAGAAGAAAGTATTCTATTTCAGTTTTTTTTTTTTTTTGGAGAAGTTTTTGCTGTAGGGTGTGTGCGCTCGCCAGACAGACAGAGACAGACAGACAGAAAGGGAGAAATCACCCCTAGGGGGGATGGCTACGCCGCAATCCCTTCTCCTCCATTCTCCTCTCGGGATCTTGGGCACACATGCAAACGCGCCCAGCGTGAGTTTAAGCCACTGGGTCCGGGACACGAACCGCGGTCGACTACATGGGAGTCCAGTGACATAGCCATTACGCTAACTGCTGGTCCCACTATTTCAGTTTTTTATGTCTTAATAATGAATTAATTAGTCTAAGGCATGATTTATTGCTGGTACTTATATAAAAGACAATATTTTAGAAAGCTAATGTTTTAGTCCTAAAAATGACTATTTTATTTTTTATCTTTTAACTCTGTTGGTAGTAATGCTGTTTTTGAGCATTTGTGCTCACATTTCTGGTTTCATTGTACTCCAAAGTGAATATGGCTTTTTAAGTATTATCTTGGCAGCATTATGGAAAAAGATCAAGATCGTCATCCTTATTCTGGAGTTTGGACAGTATGTTCTTGCTCTGTACAACTGATAATGCAACTGCAGCTAACTTGCTGTGAGACAGTGTGTGCTGGAATTTTGTGCAACCTCACTGATTATTTCTGTTTCATGTCATTGTTCTTTGATTCTCTTTATACTTTTCTGTGCTTTAATTACTTCGTTTGTGAAATGAGTATAATAATTATGTACATTTATATGTAAATATGAATATTTAAACCCCCCCAATTCTCCGTACATAGTGAGTGCTCACTATGGTACTCACTAATATGTTACTTCATTTTATTTTAAAACACTTTAGATTTCGAGTGTTTTAAACCACACGTGTACACATTAGCTCACCCTGTGTATAGGTCACTTGATAAAATTCAGCCAATTGAGATTTTTACCTTCAGTGTTTCTCAGTTACCTAGATGACCAAAGGAAAAAAGCTCAAGAGCTGTTAACAATTTCTCTCTTCTATGAGGAGTCTTAGGTATTTGCTATTTGTAGTCATTAAAGCAGCAGTTGTACAACAGGGTTCCTTGACTCTTTAGGAAGTCATAAATAAGTCAGCAGGGGCTCTGTCACTGCAACGACATATTTGAACTGTTAGATATGTAATGTATGTATGCGTGCTTCTGGAGGACAGGGCCGTAACTTCCATTTTCTGGACACAGAGGGAGGCGTCTGTTTGTAGAACTGCTACAGAGGCACTAATCTAGTGTTTTCTCGGGTAGTTGTGTAAGCCTGCCAAAGTGTAAGTGACTATTTTATAATGAGTAAGGTGTTTATTTTCCATTGAAGTATGTATTATTTTTACTATTTTAACATTTTCCCTCAAGCATAGAACTGTACCTGGTTTAGTATAAAAAATTGCTTTTTTAGGCCCTTCATTTCTTTTTATAGAAAATTTTATAAGAAAAATCGCCATTTGAGTTCAATATATTTAGAGTTTTAATTTTAATAACTATTCCCTCTCATAATGTAATTTTGAAAGTTTTTAAGAGGCCCCTTTGTGCCCATTTTTTGTTGTTCTTTTTATATTTCTTTTTTATTTTAAATTTTACCAGAGGATGCATGTACTCACTGTAAAGAAATAGGAGAGAGAGAGAGAAAATAAAAAAGCACCCTTGAAGGGACATAGTCATGCTGCAATTCCTCTGTCTCCCCTTGGGCACGCAGGCATGCATATATACCGATCATGTTTCTCAATCCACTAGGTCTGAGACTCAAACCACATGGCGGGCCGTGTGAAATCCCCCTACCTTAACCATTAGGCCACAAGCTGAGCTGAGCCCACTTTTCCAATGAGTAAATTCTGCATACTTGGATATCTTTTGCCGGGGTGCGTGTGGGAAAGGGGGAGGAGATGGAATTAGAAGAGATTGATAATATGTTTTATAGTGCTTTCCCCTTAACTAAAAAAATCAGCATGTAATTAACTATTTTATAAACCAAATCAGTTTTCTAATTGACTATTCCTATCTGAGAAAACATACTTTATTTTCATGGGCCTTTTTGGGTTATCCCTTTTGCACTTAAGCAATCTCTGTGAAATTCTGAATATTTGTTTCTCTATTCAGTATTTACATGGGGATTTCTATTTATTACCTTCATCTCTGGAAATGCCTCATGTCTTCACTATTTTTGCCTAATTATTGATTAACTATATAGATACTTCCTTTTTTGTGTGTATATCTTTGGCATCTCTACTTTCATTCAAGGCTGGATTTTCTTTATAACTGGTCTACTAAATAAAAGTGTTCATTCGTCAGTTCAACGGATATTTTTGGTGCTAGGCCCTGTGCCAGGATGAGACTAGACTCTTGTCCAGTGTGGCAGCCAATGTGTGAACAAGTAATTGCTGCATTAACTGTTCTAATGGAGTATTGTACAAAGAAGAATAAAAAGAATGTGTACTTTGCCTGGAATAACTGAGAAAAACTTCGAAAGTAAAGATAACATTTGCACTAATCCTTGAAGTATATGGGTAAATTACATGAATAAGAGAAAAGAAAGCAAAGGTTAAATTCATTATTCTAGCTTTTAAGTATCCTATTCTTTGCTTTCTCCTACCTATCACACTCTGTTGTATCTAAAATCTATTAACTAGTTTTGGTTAGATCAAACCAAAATACTGAGTTGTGACCTCATAGTGTAGTTCACAGATGAAAAACTTTTGAATGGCTCAAGGTGAGTGGAAAGAGGGATCATGGTCTATAGATAATAGAAATAATTTTGGCAGCTATCAGTGATGGCTTGACTGTGGGGGAACTAGAAGAGCGAGAAGTCTAAAGTAGTTTCTAGACTCTTTTGACTTGAGTATCTGGGTAGATGGTGAGTTATGAAATACCGGAAGAAATGGGCAGGGTGAGAGCCGATACAGAAACACAATGACTTTTTGCTCTCAGTTTTCATTATATTTGATCCCTTCATAGCCGTTCATTAATTGAGCAAATTGATAATTGGGCCTACTCTTTGCAGGCCTTCCTGTGGGTTTGGGATACTTCCGTGTGCAAAATCTGTTTTTTGTAGTGCTTATAGTTTATAGAGAGGAGCTAGCAGCAAGCAGTAAACACAAGTAAGTTATATCACAGCCTAGATATGATAATTTCTATGAGAAAAATGCAGCAAGCAGAATTTGCAGGACTAATTGAGGGTGGGGCTCATAATTTTAAATAATGTGGTCAGAGTGCAGCCTTGTTGAGAAAGTGGGATTTGAACACTCTTGAAGAAGGCAAGAGAGTTAGCCATGTAGAATAAGGAATTTTCAAGGAGTAGAACGATAATGTCCTTAAGTAGCAAGCTTGGCACATTCAAGGAGTAGCAAGGAGGTTGATGGGGGCTGAGCGAATGGGCTAATAAGCCAGAGAGAATGGGAATTG